ATTATCCTAATTATATTTTAGATTTTTTATATTTAAAATGAGATGTTTATCCAATATTTGATTATGTTTATCTGAAGTTAGTTAAACGAATTCAAGTATGGAGCTTTAATAAGTTGTACTTATGCACAGTTTACTTGTAATATTAAACTTTAAGTAATATGTATCAATAAACAGTACTTCGTGCATTAAAAATCATTTTTAAGAGTTTCTGTCAAATGTTTTATAATATAGTATAGATATATTACTTAAAATTCAAGATCACAAGTAACTTGTGCATAAGTACAATTTATTAAAGTTTCATTTTGAATTTGTGTAACTAACTATAGATAAACACAATTAAATACGGAAAATTTCATTTTAAATATAAAAAATTTAAAATATAATTAAGATAATCATTAGTTATAACAAAATACTTAATTATTATCCTTATAAAAATTATATTATTAAACGATAAATAAATTACTTTATTATTAAATTTAAATTAAATTATAAATAAAATATTAATTAAAAAAATTACACAAAAAACCACAACTTTAAATAGTAAAATAAAAACATTGTTGATTTTTTAGTACCACATAAAATCGTTTTATAATATCGACTGAGACAGAATAAAACGAAACATTAAAATCAAGATGTATCTCGCTACATTATGTAAGTATCTATCTAATGTTAAAAAATGCTCTTATACTAATCTTAATATAACAAAAAAAATACTTTATCAAAACTATTTGCATACGAGGGTTTCTCACTGCAAAAAGTTGGTTTGTTAAGACGTGCACAGTTTGTTAGTATGAAATTTATAAGTAATTAAGTTATATCTTAATAAAATAATAAGCTGTTAATACTATTTTAAACAATTTTATATTATTAAATAAGTAAATCTTTTTTAAAAAAATATTTTAAAAATTAAGTTTATTAGTGTCTATTTGTTTTTTTTAAATTTATCTTTTAATACATCTGAAGTTTGATTTGTTCAGACGTATGAGTATTGAAAGCGTTTGTTTTATTTTTAAAATAAGAGTTTAAAAGCTCTAAATATAGTCTGAAATAATAAGTGGTAAACACATCCCTTAATACCTCTTAATTCTAATATTCCCTCTATCAAATGGTTTATATTTTATATTTTTGTATTAGTTTGACCGATTCAAATTTCAGATTTTAGACGTAAAAACAAACAAATTTCAGACTTTAGGACCACCTCTTATAAATCAAAAATTAAATCAGACTTCAAATTTCAACATCTATTAAAAACCAAACGTCACTTTAGTATTTTCTTACACATTTTTTATTTTTATTACAAATAAATTAATTTAAATTCATGTCATATACATAACCCAAATCCATTGAACCGACCAAACTTTTAAAAGCGTATTATTTCGATATGTCCAAATCCATATTAAATGCTTTTACTTCAAACCTCACAAATATCACAACGTAATATTAAAAAAATTGGATAATTTGACCACAATCATGTTACAATTAAAAGTTGGTGATATACGTTGGTATTGTGTTCCAACAGTTATGTTATATTGTATGATAAAATTATTAAAAAACATTAAAATTTAAAAAAAATAATATTTTAGTTTTTTCTCTCATAAATAAAAAATATTAAAAATAAATGTTTAAAAATATAGTTTATTAAATATTTAAATAATATAATTAATATTAGAATCAATATAATAGAACATTTATTGAAATTAGATATAATTTTTATTTAAAAATTCTATTTAAAAAAATATAGCAATTAAAGATGCTTTAATAAAAATGAAAAAGCAAATCGTGTTATTTGTTTCCTATTATTTTTCTACAAGTCTCATAAATTAAATTTATATTAAAATATTATAAATCATGTCACGTGACGTACTAAAGTCCATTGAACCGACCAAACTTTAAAAATTATTATTTTTATGTGCCAAAATTAAATAAAATTTCTTATATTTTGTGGATAATGTTAATTTTTTATAAATAAAACTGTAATTTGATTGTATGAAGATAAAATTAGATCTCATTAATTACTACAATAATTTAGGAGCTGTTTACCAACGCTTATCAGATAAGTGTTTTTTGGATCACTTACTTTGTCGGATAAATTAATATGACAATGATCGATGATCTTACTCGATATAAACGTTGAGAATGATTGAGAGTTTTACCCAATAAGTGAGGGTGACGACTCTTACGTGGTTAGCACTAACCGAAGAAATTGTTACATACGATATCGTTTTGATTTGACTAAAACCTTACCCGATAAAATAAGTAAGAATGTCGAATCTTACCAATAAGTAATTATCGGATAAACTTATAAGTACATAGTCCTTTAATTTAGCAAAACTTGATAAAAATTATTCAACTTAAATGATACTGATAATAATGTTTTAGTTAATAAACATTTTTTTATTAATTTATTAATGTTAAGGAATATTTTAAATATTTAAATTATTTATATATAAATTTTTTATTTATTTTAAGATAACGAGATTAGTATTCAAATTTAGGAGCCGTTTAATAAACATTTATTTGGTAAATGCTTAACGCATAAATTTCCTCATCGGATGAACATGAGAAGGGCCAAGAATCTTACCGCGTAAGAGCGATGAGAAAGATGGAGAGTCTTACCCGGTAAGTGAGGATGACGACTCTTACCCAGGTAAGCGCTTACATAATAAGTTGTTGCATTCGATATGCTTTGATGTACTAAAATCTTACGTATCTAAATCTATACTATCTTATAAAGCATTTGGCTAAAACTCTTAAAAACTCTTACAACTCTTAAACTCGTTCATCCCTAAACGATTTCATCTCTATCCGATTTCATCCCATATCTGAATTCGTATAACTAACTGCAGATAAACACAATTAAATACAGGATAAACATCTCATTTTAAATATAAAAAATCTAAAATATAATTANAGGGGGTGTTTGGGATTGCTTATTTAAAACAACTTATGCGTTTTTGTAAAAATGCTTATTAACTTATGTGGTATCAAACCGGAGTTAAATAAAACAAGGTTAAAATTGTAAACTGGTAATAAGCAGTTTTTCATAAGTCAGTAAGGATTAACTTATCAAAAACAGCTTATTACCGGTTTGGCACATGTATAAGCAGTTTTTTTTTCCTTATCCAAACACAAGAAAACAGTTTATCACCGGTGTCAGACTGAAATAAGTTGAAAAACAACTTTTATAAGCAATCCCAAACACCCCCTAAGGATAGTGTTATATTTATCGAAGAAATCAAATAATAATTCTGTTTCTATATGGTTTTTTTAAGGGTAAATTGCATAAAAAAGTAACGTATTTTAATTTGATTATATTTTGGCTAACGTATTTTCAAAACTTTTATTTTGGTACCTAAGATGTAAAATTTTAAACATTTAAGTATCCGGGTAACCAGTTGAAGACTAATTTTAGATTTAAAAAAAATATATGTCACTAACCACGTCAGCAAATAATACTGAGTTGGATATCACATCACTTTGTCACATTAACATGATAACCGGTTAATGCTTCAACCGGTTAATTGGGTACTTAGATGTTTAAAATTTTACATTTTAAATATCAAAATGAAAGTTTTAAAAATACGTTACTCCAAATAGGAATCAAGTTAAAATACATTAATTTTTTTTGAAATTTATTTTTTTCTTTTAAAAATAAAAGCTTCCGAGAAAAAGAGAAAGACGACAAATTAAAGACTGGTAATCATCATTAATCATATTTGTGCTACCAAACAATTCAACCCGTGTGATAGAAAAAAAGATATGTATTTTTAATTTTTAATTTTTAATTTTTAATTTTTATTATTAATATTAATTCTTCAATTATATTTTTATTATTTATATTATATTATAAATATTTGATAAAACTTATAAAAATCATTTTTTTATGTATTAAGTATTGTTTATTTTTGCATATTATTTAAAACTTAAGATTACAAGTAGATTGTGCGTATGTACAACTTATTAAAGCTTCATATCTGAATTCGTGTAATTAACTACAGAAAAAATAATCAAATACAGGATAAACATCTCATTTTAAATATAAAAATCTAAATATAATTAGGATAATCATTGAGTCCTAACATAATACTTAATTATTATTTTTATAAAATATTATATTATTAAACCAAAAATAAATTATTTCATTATTAAACCAAAAATAAATTATTTCATTATTAAAGTTAAATTAAATTATATAAAAAAACAATCTTTTACTATATTATAAAGCATTTGACAAAAACTCTTAAAAACTATTTTTTATGCGTAAAATACTGTTTATTAATGCATATTACTTACAATTCAAGATTACAAGTAGATTGTGCGTAAGTACAACTTATTAAAGCTTCATATCTGAATTCGTGTAACTAATTACAGATAAACATAATCAAATACAAGATAAACATCTTATTTTAAATATAAAAAATCTGAAATATAATTAAGATAATCATTGAGTTTTAAGAGAATACTTAATTATTATCTTTATAAAATGTTATATTATTAAACCAAAAATAAATTATTTCATTATTAAATTTAAATTAAGTTATAATAAAAAAAATAAATTAAAGAAATTACATAAAAAAATAGAACTTTTAAATAGTTGATTTGATATTAACATTGATATATATTTTTTTTCAAACTTTGATGACATCTTCAAAATTATATTTTATCCAAAAATAAAATCATTATTTCTTTCTTAAAAACACATAAAATCGTATTACAACATCGACGAAGATAAAAAATAAAATAAAACATTAAAATCGAAATGTATCTTGTTACATTGCACGAGTACCCTTCTAGTAAATTATAATGTTGACTCATATTGATAGGTGCTTACCGGGTAAGCATTTATAGTATATTTATTTCTCCTTGTATACACGAACATAGTATATATATACACTTACATATTATATATATATATATATATATATATATATATATTACATATGCAAGTGAGGAAACCAGAATACAAGACCATTACACTCTTACAAAGCTTTTATTTGATATTTAGGGTTTCTCAGAGAAAGTAAAGATGGAAGATGGTATGATAGACTTGCCAAATTTGGTATTTGAAGAGAAAATTGGTAACAAGAGAGGAAGAGATGATGATGGTGAAGTTGAAACCAATATAGGGAGACTTGAAAAGAGGCCAAGTGGAATTTTGGGTGTTAACGGCAGCGGAGATGGCGGTGGCGATGGAGGAGAAGGCGGCGGTGATGGTGGTGGGATCATTGAAACTTTCATTTCAAATGTGTTTCACAAGAATGGAAGTGGTATAGAAGCCAAAGAAGATGAAGTTGATAGTCAAGTGAAAATCGATGTGTTTGATTTTGAAGTTGAAGACACCAGTGTAGATTTAGGCATCGACGGCGGCAAAGGTGGTGGTGGTGAAGAAGGAGAATCCGGTGGTGGTGGTGGGATCATCAACACCTTCATTTCAAATATGTTTAACCATAATGGAAGTGGTGGTGGTGATCATGGGATAAGTGATTTAAGTAATGATGTTGTAGAGAAAACCGAAAGATTAGGTGGCAATGGCGGAGATGGTGGTGGTGGTTGGACGGTTGATAGCTTCATTTCAAATGTGATTCACGACAACGGAGATCGAAGAAGGGAGGAGGAACCACAGAGTGGCGACGGTGAACCAGAGACTCTTGATGCAGAAAAGTTGACGAAGAAGAACGATACATCATCTGAGCCGCCTACTAAACATGTTCCAGGTATACACATTATCACTGCTTTTCTAATTACTTAGTTGCCGTATACCAAACACTTACTCGGGTAAGCGTTTATCAAGTCACATTACCTTACCGGATGAATATGGTAAGAATCAAGAATCTTACCCGGTATGAACGAGACAAGGACCATGAGTCTTACCCGGTAAGTAAGGACGATGATTCTTACCAGGTAAATTGTTTCATACGATGTCATTTTGATGGATTAAAATATTATCCGGTAAATAAATAATAGTGTTGTTTGGTAAACTTTACGGTCAAAATACTTATGTGATTGTTGTGTAAAAATATGGAACAGGACATCAATTAAAAATGAAGCCAGATGATTATTCTGAAAGAGTGTTTTTCCTAAACAACAACTGAAGCAGATTGCAACACAAAACCATGGAACTAATCCAACGGCAACCAAGCGTTTACTGAACTGATGATGTTGATCCTACCGCTGATTATTTTCGTTCATGTTTTTTACCAGCTTTATTGTTTGTTATGTATTTGTACTCGAAACAACATATAATTATACAACATATATTAGTAATCATTTTTAAACCTTTTTAATTATAATAAATTTCATTAATAATCTTTTTTAAATGTAAATATTTTTTTGGTATATTTGTTTCATTTTATAGATGTAAGTATTTTTTTTTCAAAAAATATTTAGGAACTTAATCGTTCAAAATATGTAAGTTTTAGAAGGTTTTAGACTTTTTCTTATTTTACCACATTAACCAGTTTTATAGGTCATAAAAATGTATCCAACAGGTTTTAGAAAGTCCAAAAAATTATTTAATAGATTTTGAAATGTCTAAGACTTATTTATTCCAAAAAAATATCTAAAAACTTAATCATTTCAAACATTACATTGTTTTTTTTTAGATTTTTCTCTTTATAAAATAACATAACCATTAAATAATATAAAAATAATTTACTTGGATTTTTGATATTTAATTGGTGGCGTTTGATGCGTATACAATAAAGAAATTTATCGAATGAAGTGAAAGTAGTTTTCTCTTTTTAAGATACAAGAGTCATGTGTAATAGATAAATAAAATGTTTAATATTATAATCAATGTTAGAATTCTTTAAAATGAAAATTTTATTGAAGATGAATGTAATTTATCTATATGAAGGTGTTTGAGATTGTTTATAAAAATAACTTATTGACTTATTCTGATTTAAGACCGGTAATAAGCATTTTTGAGTGTTTGCATAAACAGCTTATACCGATGCCAAACCAGTAATAAGTAGTTTTTGAAGAAGTTAAATCCTTCTAACTTATAATAGGTTGATAAGAACTTTTATAGAAAAACATAAGTTATTTCAAATAAGCAATCCCAAACATCGCATAACTTAACAAAAAATCAATTAAAACAGCAAAAAATATGACGGATGCCAAAGTAAATGTAAGACAATTGCCCATGTTCTATTTTTGTGAAGTATTTAGTGTAGTATTATTTATAGTTAATAATGATTTGTATTATATATATAAGCATTTGTTTTTCAAAAAAATTCAAGCCATTAATAAACATATATATTATTTCAGTTAGTTTTATAAATACATATTTTTATCAATAATTCATTTGATGTCATATCCAATCAACAAAATAAAATCATAAGGGTGGTGTTCGGTTGGTTTGAAGTTAGACTCTAAAGGTCAAAAGTGTCTGGAAGTTCCATTTTTCGAATCCAAGAACGAATAAAAATTCTCTTGTGGCCATGAAGATTCAAATGCGGTGACTCCGTACTACCCGCGAAGTAGATGGTTGTCCTGTGATTAGTCGGCTCCCATAACAAATTGGATATCCAGGTTAATAATGAAATAAAATAAAATTTTGAAATTAATTTTCTATTTAAATAATAGATTAAGTTACTTCGTCGTTACAAATAAAATTGAATGTAACGTGGAATTCACTCCTATCTTTATTTAGAGATTACATAATAGGTTATAAAGTGAATCACATATATAGTCCTATGTTTTGATATTTTTTATGGCTAGGGTCCATATTTATTATGGATTTGGTCCCGTTGGAATTCAATTTTTCATGAGCATGGTTTCTCTGATTAACATTGTTAAGAAACTTCGTTAATTTAAGTCAAAGGCTATTTTGGTCTTTTTTACTTGGGGGTTGTTTACCAACAATAGCTGCTGATAAGCGTTATCTGAAATAAAAGGTTTGATCAGAGTAAGCATCTATGTTTGGAGTAAGTGTTGTTTGTAAAAAATTGTTTACCAAGTATTCTGGAATTTTGTGCTGACTAATAAAAAAATGACCATTATAACCCTATATGTGATGAAGTGTTTAAACTGAAGCAACTATTTACCAAATTTTATGTATGAATAATTGTTGAAATGACAAAAATACAAATTACATAATTAAAATATATTAAAACGGGAAAATAAATTGAGTTTAAACGTAATAATTGTCGCAAAGATTTTAATTTGAAATATTAGACAATAACTGATTTGCAATCTGATCGCGCAAACTAGTCATGTATTCACTATCTTGATAACTCCACTGCATTTCATCGACTTCTATGTCATTGCTTCCTTCATGTTGTTCTTCATTGGCGTGTAAACATGGTATTCTCATCGTGTTCCATAAATAATTGGTCTTGGATATTGCATTTCCTTATAAAGTTATGAATCAACAAGCAATCACCACATCTTTCTATATTGAAAAAGGATAAGGAACCATTTGCTCCAGGATTGGAAATCTTGCTTTTAAGACACCATACGCACGCTCAATAACATTTCTAAGTTGTGCATTAGCATGACTGAACATTTCTTCTTTTGTTAATGCACGTCTACGTCGAAAATATGCTAACCAATACCTCGTATTGCGATACGGAGTCATAAATCCACGGGTACAAGTATATGCGGCATCACAAAGATAATATTTATTTGTAATTACATCTAGAACTTAAAAAATATGGATTAATAATAATCTATTAATGTTAATAAAATGATACTTACTTGATGAAGGAAACGGAAATCCTGAAGTTGGGTTAAATGCAACTTCCCTCAAAACTCTTGAATCATGTGCAATGTCTTCCCTTCCAGCCTATACAAACGTGAATATCATATTAAAATCACATATGGCTAAGACGTTTTGGTAGCCTTCCCCTCTTCCTCTTCCTTTATACCTTGTTTGTTGATCACTAGGCACAACTGCATGTACCAGGGTTCCATCTAGTGCACCTATAGCCCCTTTTAAAAAACATCAACTATAAGAAACTTGTAAAAATATAAAAATAAAAAAAATTATCAAATCAATAACATAAATCATACCGGAAATATTTGTTTGAGGTGCCTAAATCTTTCTGATGTATTTGATGTTCCATCAACCGATGTTGGCCCTACTACCTCTCTTGCGAATTACATCATTCGTCTCAATACTTCATGAAAACAATTATGAATAGTCCGTGTAGAGTGTTGAAATCCACGTTTAACCATGTGAAAGCGTTCATTGTGAGCAACAATTGTCAAAAACATCGTCATCTTCTCTTCAACGCTTATTTGCCTACTTGATTGCAACCAATTTTTTTGTTTAAAATGGTCGCATAGCATTATAAAGGCATCACGAGATAAACGCATCAATTAATGACATTGCGTATTGGATCCACTTAATAATTCTTGTGTATACGCATGTCCAGTGAGAACCGAAGTGTTATCTCTCACCCTCTCTATTCGTGTTGAAGCTCTTCTTCTCAAATACCAATATACAATAACCACAATCAGAATAATATCATTTTCATCCATGTATGACCTTGCATATAAAACACAAAATAACAGCAAGTTTAAACAAATATTCCGTTAAATTGAAATAGCCATTTATTCATATTATATCAATCATAATACCATCCAAACAAAACATTCTAAAAAAACATCTAAAAAAGATTGTTCAAAACAAAACGTCACCAAACTAAAATAAACCGAGCTTACCACCTGTAAATTTAACCCATCCCTTACACCTCTCCTCACTCAAGCGTAACCAAATTTTCCTATAGTCGGTGCTTTGGTTGAATATGTAAAGTGTTATGTCATACAATGGAGTTTGCTCCCACCCAAGTGTTTCCAACTTATCTATGCAATGATCCATCTCATCCTCCCCTGGTGGTTCGTTCAAGATCTGTTTAACATGTGTCACAACTCTTGCTAAATCATCCTCATTTTCCAAATGTTGTTTTCCTTTTTGATTTTTCCTTTGAGGTTGGGGACGAAAAACAATCTCTTCTTCCGAAGGAAGTGGTTCTTGTGTTAGATCATAAAAGTCTTGTGGGCCATAATATTCAACAATTTCAGGAGTCACACTAGAAGGGTTTGGAACAGTTGCAGTTGGTCCCCAAGTTCCAACACCGGTGGAAGCCACACCATCAAACGATTGAATACAAAGTTGAGGAAAGAGAAGAGGTGCAGTCCGTAACTTCTCAACAAATTTGTTTTGTTGTTTATAAAAGATTTATAAGTATATATAAAAGAAGAATTTAAGAAAATAATCTTAATAGAAAAAGATAAAACGTGACCTTCATTTCTATTTGTCATTCCTCTTCTCATAGATTAAACATGTTTGTTGATGCATCATAAACATTACCCTTCTTGTTTCTTAACTTTGCCCATGCTCCATACTTTCCTTTGAGGTAATCATAATGGTTTTTCATTTGTCGTTGTTCTACAACAAAATTATGATTCTTTTGTAGCACTTCTGCTACATTCTTCCAAGAAACTGCCTTAAGGCTACCCTCTTCTCGTCAATTTACGGAGATCTCATGCAAACAAGACTCGATAAATGTTTTCACCACATTTTCTTTTTTCCAGTTAACCCTAGGATTTTTTGATTGTGAAGATTCGCCAACATTTGTCATCATATCGAAAACATTAACCATCATATCATGATTATTTCAAAGGTGCATGTCTTGTAATCCAAATAATTAATGGTTGTTTGCTTCAAGTCCACAACCATAATTTGTCACATTACCAAACACTTACCAGTACGCACTTACCGGGTAAATTTTTGCATACAATGTCGTTTTGGTTGACTAAAATCTTACCCGGTAAGTAAATAATAGTGTTAAAGTTTACCGGTAGGTACCTATCGGGTAAGTGTTTGGTAAACGGCCCCTAAATTAAATCCTTTCAACCTGAACTTTTCGCACAAATTCTTAGCAAATGAGAAAAGAAATGATGTAAAGAGAAGATCCCTTACTTAAGCTAGAAAATGCTCAAAGTAAGAATTAGGTTTAGAGAGTGAGTTGCGCGCACTCTGCATGGAGAAGAAACACTTCTATTTATACCCAATACATTAAATGAACATTTAATGCAATATGGTAGGGTTAGAGTGCGTGTCAAACCTTAAGAGGAAGGCTTGTCCTTTGCCACAGTGAATAGTACAAAAAACACTATTTGTGGGCAGACATCCCTACTTAAAGTTGGTGGACAATAGAGTCGACTTCGGCTCCGTACCGTACCAACTTTTATAAGGGTATGGGTTTGTCCTTTGTATGCATAAGGACAAGACAACAACAATCGTGCT